TTTTCTGCTGATATTAATTTCTTGTTGATATTTTCAAGTTTTCATGGTACAAGCATTAATTAGACGGAAAATATTTCTCCTCCCTAATCTCCGAAATTACCAAGTGTGCTAGTTCTGTATACTTTGATTTCTGTTTTCAGTGATTATTTAAACCAATTGCGTTTACCTTTGTTGCATATTTTGGAAGTATAATAAATTACAATATGGATGATAATTTGTATGATGAGTTTGGGAACTATATTGGACCTGAAATAGAGTCTGACAGAGAGAGTGATGGAGAGGAGGATTTCGAAGACCTCCCAGACAGGCCCACAGAGGAGGAGGAGGAGGAGGAGGCAGAATCTGATGGGGAGGCCCCAGCTGGTGCTTCTAATGGGTGGATGACTGCCTCTGCTGATTTTGATATGGATAACCAGATTGTTCTTGCTGAGGACAAGAAATACTACCCAACTGCTGAAGAGGTGTATGGTGAGGATGTTGAGACCTTGGTTATGGATGAAGATGAGCTGCCTCTTGAGCAACCCATTATTAGACCTGTTAAGAACATCAAGTTTGAGGTTGGAGTGAAAGACTCTTCCACTTATGTTTCAACCCAATTTCTAATTGGTTTGATGTCAAATCCTGCTCTGGTTCGGAATGTTGCACTTGTAGGGCATCTACATCATGGAAAGACATTGTTTATGGACATGCTTGTTGAACAAACCCACCATATGTCTACATTTGATGCAAAGAGTGAGAAGCACATGAGATACACTGATACAAGGATTGATGAGCAGGAAAGAAAGATATCCATCAAGTCGATTCCAATGTCACTTGTACTTGAGGATAGCAACTCAAAATCCTACCTGTGTAACATTATGGACACACCTGGTCATGTCAACTTTTCTGATGAAATGACTGCTGCTCTCAGGCTTGCTGATGGTGCTGTCTTGATTGTTGATGCTGCTGAAGGGGTGATGGTAAGTGTATATTGGTTCACTTTTTATTTTTTATTTTTAACATGATCAGTTCAATTTTATTTTGTAACTTTGCTTTTGATCAAGGTCTAGCAGATAAGTTCTCAAGTTCAGCTATAATGATGATTGTGCTGCTTGAGTCAAATTACTTTTGGAATTGCTTTATCAGTTGCCTTAGGCTTCTTTCTTTTTAACATGATATAGATATCTCTGGAATGCATATGACTTGATTAATCTTGGTGTTTTATTTATGATATTCTGTCAAGAACAGGCAAACACAGAGAGGGCTATACGCCATGCAATACAGGAATGCTTGCCTATTGTGGTTGTCATCAATAAAGTAAGTACCCCCTGTTTATGCTTCAGATCTTATCTAATATAAGACAATGGTCTATTAGTTATTCTCTAATGTGTTTATTTTTTTGTCAAGGTTGACAGACTGATAACAGAACTTAAGCTACCACCAAAGGATGCTTACCATAAGCTAAGGCATACACTGGAGGTCATTAATACCCACATTTCTGCAGCATCTACGACTGCTGGGAATGTTCCAGTTATTGATCCAGCTGCTGGAAATGTTTGTTTTGCAAGTGCAAGTGCAGGATGGTCCTTCACTTTGCAATCATTTGCAAAACCGTATGTCAAACTCCATGGGGTTCCATTTGATGCTGAGAAGTTTGCATCTCGTCTTTGGGGAGATTTTTACTATCATCCAGATACCAAGGATTTCAAAAGGAAACCTCCAGCAATTGGGGCTGAAAGATCATTTGTCCAATTTGTCCTTGAACCTCTCTATAAAATATATAGCCAGGTGATTGGAGAACATAGGAAGAGTGTGGAGGCGACACTTGCAGAATTGGGTGTCACTCTTAGCAATGCTGCATACAGGTTGAATGTCAGACCTATGTTAAGGCTGGCTTGTAGCACTGTTTTTGGCTCAGCCTCGGGCTTCACTGATATGCTGGTCAAGCACATTCCTTCTCCTAAAGATTCAGCATCTAGGAAGATTGATCATACACATACCGGACCAAAAAATTCTACGATTTATAGGGCCATGGTGGATTGTGATCCATATGGTCCCCTCATGGTCAATGTAACCAAACTGTATCCCAAGTCTGATTGTAGTGTCTTTGATGCTTTTGGTAGGGTTTATAGTGGTAAAATTATGACAGGGCAAACAGTACGAGTACTGGGGGAAAGCTATTCACCAGAGGATGAGGAGGACATGACAATAAAAGAAGTAACTAAATTGTGGATTTATCAATCTCGATATAGGATTCCCATAAGCAGTGCTCTTCCTGGTTCTTGGGTCCTCATTGAAGGTGTTGATGCATCAATAACTAAAACTGCCAGCCTGTGTAATGTAGATCTTGATGAGGATGTGCATATATTTAGACCCTTACAATTTAATACCCTTCCTGTGGTGAAAACTGCTACTGAGCCTTTAAATCCAAGTGAATTGCCCAAGATGGTGGAGGGGCTTCGAAAGATTAGCAAAAGTTATCCTCTAGCTATTACTAAAGTAGAGGAGTCTGGGGAGCATACGATTTTAGGCACTGGAGAGTTGTACTTAGATTCAATTATGAAGGACCTTAGAGAACTCTATTCAGAGGTGGAAGTCAAGGTATTATACCTTCTCATAAATATCATATTTGTCTATTTTATCTTGAGTTTCCTTTCTTTTATGTGTTTTCTGATCTGATTTTGCTTTTTATGCTTCACTGAATGTGTAGGTGGCAGACCCTGTTGTCTCATTCTGTGAAACAGTGGTGGAATCTTCATCAATGAAATGTTTTGCTGAAACACCCAACAAGAAGAATAAAATAACCATGGTACGAGATCTATCAAATTTAGTTTGATCCAGTTGCAATTAAGAAATATGATTTCTTCCCTTTTTGAAGTATGAGCATTAAGTATCTTTTTCTTGTTTTTAAGATTGCTGAGCCATTGGAGAGAGGACTTGCGGAGCATATTGAAAATGGTGTTGTAAGCATTGATTGGAGTCGAAAGGTAATTGGTGACTTCTTCCAGACAAAATATGACTGGGATTTGCTTGCTGCACGTTCTATATGGGCATTTGGCCCTGATAAGCAGGTAAAATAAGTGAAATTTTATTGTTTTCATATTTATCCCTCAATGCTATCTTGTTTTTTCTGGATTTATTGTTAGTTCAATGTACAAGTTAGGGAGAATATGAGGACTCTGAGTCTAGTAAATTGATGCTTCTGGTTGTTCTTTCTTATATTTGTCAAATCTTGTTCTTTCAGGGACCTAACATTTTATTAGATGATACACTCCCAACTGAAGTTGACAAGGGCTTGCTGGGTGCAGTCAAGGATTCCATTGTTCAAGGGTAGGCTTTGTTTTATAAATATATATTCTTCTTTTCAAGGCTTATCTCCTGAATGTAATTAAGCATTCCATGTTATGTGGGACAGATTTCAGTGGGGAGCTAGAGAAGGACCTCTCTGTGACGAGCCAATCAGAAATGTTAAGTTCAAGATTGTAGATGCAAGGATTGCACCTGAACCATTGAATCGGGGATCTGGTCAGATCATTCCAACAGCTCGACGTGTAGCCTATTCAGCTTTCCTTATGGCAACCCCACGACTCATGGAGCCAGTATACTATGTGGAGGTATGCACTTGATATTTTAATTAAATTAAGATAGTTATAATTCAAGGAAGATTGGATGGGTTTCAGAAGAAATCTATTCTCTTAACATGGTAAAGGTAAGGCAAAAAAAAAAAAGTGGCAGTAGTGAATTTAATATAGTCTGTGCATCTGAAACTAAGAGCTAGCTTCAAGCTCTTTTTAAATTGCATGCATCCTTACTGCAAATAATTTTTGGGTAAAATTGCTTTCTCTTTCTGTTATGATGGGGTTTTACATATCGTTCATTATTATCGTGCATTTGTCCTATTAATGTCCTTTACCTAAAGGTAAAGACAAAGAATTCTTTGGCCCATTTTAATTAATTTATTAAATCTATTCAGCTGTCTCAATTATCATGAATTTGACTTGTCTTTTAGATATGTAATTAATGTTATTGTTGTTTGTTTCAGATACAAACGCCAATAGACTGTGTCTCTGCTATCTATACAGTCTTGTCACGCAGGCGTGGACATGTTACAGCTGATGTGCCTCAGCCAGGGACACCAGCTTATATTGTGAAGGTTTGGAAGCAAATCTTGAGTTTATTTAGAAAGATACATCCATAACTATTGCCATATGCAGCATGGTTATTATTTGCATAATGCATATTGCTTGAAATTCCATAATATTACTTTTCACTCTATTGAATCATTTGTTTTTCAGGCATTTTTACCTGTGATAGAGTCATTTGGATTTGAGACTGACTTGAGGTACCATACACAAGGACAAGCATTTTGTCTATCGGTTTTTGATCATTGGGCTATTGTCCCTGGGGATCCTTTAGATAAGAGCATTGTTCTACGGCCTCTTGAACCTGCCCCAATCCAGCATCTTGCCCATGAGTTTATGGTAAAGACAAGGCGTAGGAAGGTAATTAGCTGCTTCTGCCCTCTTCCCTCTCCCTCTGTGTGTGTGTGTTGTACATATCTATATTTACATATCTCTATTTATGTTGAAATGTAAACTCACTTGTGGGAGCACTGATGTGTTGTATTTTCTATTGACATTTCCAGGGCATGAGTGAAGATGTGAGCATCAACAAGTTCTTTGACGAGGCCATGATGGTGGAGTTGGCTCAGCAGGCTGCCGATCTTCATCAGCAAATGATATGACAGAAGCAAGTCTGTTGCATCAAGTTCTTTGACGAGGCCATGATGGTGGAGTTGGTTCAGCAAGCTGCTGATCTTCATTAGCAAATAGTATGACAGAAGCAAGTCTGTTGCCTGTAGTATCAAGTATGTCGTAGAATAGGTACATGGATTTTGTTTTTCCGAGCAGAGTGAAGGATATTCATTGTATCATATTAAGTTTAATAGTGTAGCATATAGAGATAGTTACTCCTAACCTATAGCTGCTTGTTTGATTTTTGGCAACTTCAACTCATTGTATTACACCATTGGCGATGATCGGAACTCATTTAGACTATAGATATTGAATTTTTATTTTGACATGTAAATCCTAATCCTATGTCTAGTCTATGTTAAACATCTGTATGAGTTTTAGTTGGATTCTCGAATTAGTATTAGTCATGAAAAAACACTTGGAATTGTCACGTAATTGGTCAGAGGGATTGTCTTACACTTTATAGATTAAGGTTTTTTATGAATTCTCTCGTCTAGACGTGAATAAATTGTTTTTGATTGAATCATGAAAGAATAGTTTTGAAGTATAAGTAAATGGATTTTGAGATATTTTAATCGTTAAAAAATAAAAATAAAAAAATTAATTATAAAAAATTACGGTTATTTTTTTTATGATATGATATGTGATTTGAAGTTATTGTATTTAACTTTTCAAGTTATAAGATGTTGCGTTCTCACGTGATTCGAAATTTGAAAAGTCTACACCTATTAAATATTAAAAATGAATATTTTCAAAGTTAAGGTGTTAAATGTAAAATTTTTTTTTTTTTTTGACTAGTGGGAAATTGAGGATGGAAGAATAATTATAATATTGATGCACTGGCAGTTTGAACCCTTTACAAAGAAGTCAAGGGCGTTGGTGCACTTCCATCGCGGCTAAGATTGCAAGTGCGTTAAATGTAAAATTTTAAACTATATAAAAGTCAAGAGTATATATATATTTTTTGTGAATTGAGGGTTAATTGCACCTTTCTCAAACTAGACTAGGGTAAGTAGCTAAGTGCAATTA